TTCTTTTAACTGATGCTCTTTGTTCTTTGGTTAGATCCTCTGGTAATGTTAAGTCTATCAAGTAATTGGTGATGTGTCTGTATAATTCAAGTTCCATTATAATCAAAAGCTGATGTCCAGTAAGTGATTGTCCAGTGTATGTTTTCAAATATAGTTATTAATCAAAGGATATATTTTAATTCAGTGGAAATAATATAACTTATATTATTTCCACTTAGTCTAGGTTATTCCCACTTAGGTATGTGTCATGATCCAATTTTTATAACACAGACTAAGGTGTCGTGATCCAAATTTTATAACACAGACTAAGGTGTCATGATCCAAATTTTATGACATAGGTTAAGGTGTCGTGATCCAAATTTTATAACACATTATTGCTATATAGGTTGCATTTGTATCGTCACTTGAGAACCACTGAGATATGCACCAGTATAAAAAAGATTGCTAAATTGGATCATGTGAGAGTGACGCTAATTCACCCGTGGAGCGGGTACTCTGTACAAGAATGCAAATTTCCGAAGTAGGCGAAACTTTATTGAATCAAAATGATAGGTAGCGAGAGAAATATATGATGCTATCAAAGAGGGAGTACATCACCTTTTTATATAATTTGCAGAATCGATTTTGGAATACGCTTTTGGGGAATATGATTGCATCACGAAAATCTGATCAACGCGCACTCCTATAGAAAATTTGGCACTATTCCACATGTATAAAGATCAACAAGGGGACATCAGTTTAATTCGCGCAAATCATTAATTCAATGATGAAAGTATACGCCAGAACTTTCGAGCAAAAAGACATGACGAACATAACACCTCTTTTTTCTAGATGCATTGCAATTATATAAAATCACAGTCAAACTAAATGCATTGCAATTATATAAAATCACAGTCAAACTAAATGCATTGCGGATAACTGCCAGGAATATCATAATACTCTATTTTTTCATCTATCAATAAACGTAGTTGATCATCAGTCCACAAGCTTCACTAGTTGCGGTGTAATTGGGATACACTTATTTCCTCTTTGCCTCTCGGAAAAAAGATGTATATATTATCAGCATATGCTATCAGTATATGTTATCTGACTACTTCGCCGACAATGAACAAACGAAGTGCAGTGAATTGGCGGATTATATATGAAAAAAAGTTTATCGTGGCTACATCGCACTTACATCGTACCTTCATCGTATCTTCATTACAACTATATTATAAAGGGTGTAATACATAGAGCAAAATTAACTCAAATTAGCATTACCTCCGAAACTATATAAAGAGAGGTAGATTCGTTTATTAATGAAATTTATGATCAACGAAAATTAATATAAATAACCAATTAACGTGTACCGAAAAATTAGGTTCCACGAATAACATGTGCTGTAAATCGAAGGTCATGGAACATCTGCATGCATGATTTAATCGTTTAACTTACGTTTGCCATGCCATATAAATCCAAATCCGATTGACTAACTCGTGGAATATGCATTTTCTTTGTGAAAAGTTTTTTTTGTCATGCATTGCATCGCTCCAGTTTCACACTTCCTAAATCTACCTAAATGAGGCAGAAATGGGTGAACGAAAATATTTTAAAAGGACAGTATATCTACGTTATGCTTGTTTGTTGCTTCTTTTTACTTGCGCTATTAATATATTAGCAAAATTTTATATTACCAATTGACATGACTACTTCAACATTTTTATTGGCTAAAAACTTTGTCCCATTATGCAACTTTTTAAGAACCAGTTCCCTAGATAAAATCATCACTTCTAATGTAATTACATAACAATGGAATTGTTTTAAAATTCAAATGAAACAAGATTTCGACTGCTTCATGAAAATCCTAAAAGAGATAGAAAGTGAAATTATTGATAAAGGATGTAAACAGTATCTTAAATCGTTACAAAATATTAGTCAGGTAATTTATATCACTTTGATGTTTGTATAATAGAGAATAAAATAATGAATATGACATCTAGACATTAATAAGTATAATGCAATTGAAAAAGCGACATATTGTCAGTAAGAATCTCTTTCATTATATTTATTATGATATTTTTAAAACAATAATGCCGGCTATTTCTGATTAGAATGAGTATTTGTGCAAAAAAAAATGATGATGTTTCTTTGAATTTTATTAACCCATTCATATTTCAGATACGATTTATTAGGAACGAATTGCTATCATTAAAAGATATGGGGTTCTTACGAGGAAAATTCGAAGAAAGAGTAAACTGGAAAGCTTTAGCTTTAAATAGTATAGAACTTTTGAAAGATAAAATCAAGGTAATCAATTATTTATTACTTGAATTTTCCATAAAATTAACTCTCTTTTCGATTCATTAGAAGAAAGGCGCACCACCGCATGAGCACATTTTTACAAAAATAAGCAATATAGATGTTGATGCATTATCAAATGACGACTCGTTATGTATTGGAGTAATCAGATAAATATAATATTCCGGAAAGCGATTACGAATCTCTCGTTGTACGTATAATATTTCTATTTTTCTTTACGAAGTAGATATGTATTGGTTCTGAGATCGGAGTAATTGATAAGACTTTTTATGGGATCTCGTATCAAAGATAATTACTTATTATATATTAATATTAATAGGGAGAGAAGGCTAATATAAGAAATTTGAGCAGAGATATCGTAGTGAAGAATATATGCAATGATTTTATATCAAAGAGGAACGACGTTCAAAAATTGCGGAAATTTGTACTACCTTCGAGGGACGTGGTGACACATGATCAATGGGTTGAAGACGATCACATTAAGGAACGCATAGCAAGTGGAATTACCGATGTTCTTTTGCAAGAAATTAAGCTGAATGCGCTCCGAAGAGTTTCCAGGGGTTCGGAAAACACACTAGTGGAGATTATCGCTCGTATGATAGATATGACTATGCATCATTTACCTGTGGATTATGAAGTCGAAGTTACCAGGGCCGAATGTCAAAGTACAGCCAGTAAAAATCGCAAAACTCAGCAAAAAAATGGATCGAGGGGGGATAAACCCGATCTCATGTTCCGTGCTCACCTTCGTCAAAAATGGGAAGAAATTGTGTTTTTCGAGAGTGGAAAGTGGGATGCTAATGAAGATAAGATTCGCCACGACCATAATAAATTAGTGCAACTCTGTTTGGATGGGTCTAAAGAGCTTGTGAGGAGATGCACAAAAGAAATCTTTTTCCAGAGTTATATAGGATTTGGTGTTAATATTGCAGGTAAGTGTATTGAGATTCATGGATTGATAAAGGAAGGAGGAGTAAAGTACCATCTTCCAATCGTTAAAGCGAAAATACCTTTGGGTAAAGAATCAGTTGAGGAAGTAGAAGAGTTTGTTCATGCCCTATTGACTTTGCGAGTATGCTTTAACTATACTAAATGATTTTCTGTATATTCGCCGTATTATGATACTCATACAAGATCTATGATCTCAGAATGGGGTTATTGTAAATTTACAGAGTATTGTGAACAGTTTTCAAAAAAGATCGAGAAAAACGAGTGATATAAGCCCTCCTCCACGTGAAGTTGGTAGATTAATCAAGAAAAAGAGCGCAAATTTCTAGAATAACCCATGTATCATTTATAGAACGACGCACTATTAATCTTGATTGGTTGATTGTAAATATGTAACTTACCGATTATCGACAATTACTTACATTCCCACGTTTTTTTTCACGAAAGTATACGCTATTCGTCTTGAGTAGGACATCGGCTCTAGGGTTTTTACCTTAACGGCTCGTCGAATAGTATTGCTTTTGATTTATCTAGAAAATAGTAATATACCGCGAACCTTTATTCTCAACCTACCTTTCACAAACAGCTACGATGGACATAATTAACTTGACCAATAAGCGAAAAGAAGCCACGTTGGAGAAAACACCAGCCACGAAGAAGTTGTCGCGAGAGGCTCGCAAACGCAGAAATAAAAGGCTTAAGTGGGAACGTGAATACGGACACGAACAAAATGAATCTCTCCACGTAGCAGAAGACGACGTACCAACTAACTCTTCCACCGACCTTGATATAGTATTCGATCCAACGAGGGTATATTTATTTTTTTATTAATACGGCACCTTATTTAGTATATCAAAATACTTTTTCTTGTTCGTTGTTATTATTTTGTGCTGATAGGGGAATTACCTGAGTTATTTGTCGCGAGTTTGCCCAGCAAGTTGTGGGGTGCAACAGACGCACAATCACCAATATTCCAATGGAGTTGGTGGCTCAGCACTTTAGCAAGGGTAATTATTCCGCTCCGCAAAAAATACAACTTATTTGATGTGCTTTATTTATCACACCTCGCATTATATACCTGAGGAAAAAATGTATCTTAATACCATTAAAACTAAATAAGCTAAATTCCCATTATTATTTTTAGCATCGTATTCAATCCGCAACTCGGGGGTTATGTAATTCAGATAAAATATATTACATTGAAAACGAATGGTCGAGTATACCACTATCTCCCTTGGATCGGATAACATCTAAAGAAAAAAAGACGCAACATGATATAACTACGAGGGGCTTATTAATAGAAGTGTTAATTAGAGAAACGAGATCTAACAACACCTGCACATACGAGATACTCGATATTCCCTCCGATTTTCTGACGTTAGTTGATACCGATATAATTAGCAAGGTTGATTCAACATCCACAGGTGATAAGAAAAAACGTTTATGGGTTGCCTTCGGCCGTTGGTTAGGAATGAAAGAGCCAATCCGAAGAAGAGACGTTCGCGAACACCTAAGATTGAAATGGAAACAACTCGAACACGCTATGGATATTCGAAATAATCGGGATAGTCCTATTCCAGCTCCTATACGTTCCACCCGAAGAGAAATAATCGGGATAGTCCTATTCCAGCTCCTATACGTTCCACCCGAAGAGAAAGGACCCAACTAATCGCATCGGCACGAGATAATTTTCGTTCGATTAACAGATTAATGGGATTTCGTCATGTTGTAGATCCGGAGTGTATTACGGGTGCCGATGGTCGGACTTTAGTTCATCTAGAGTTACTTAACAACCCAATTGCCATAACACAAGCCACCAATGGCGTAAATTGTTATTATTTTCACACATTGGAACATCCCTCTCATAGAAGCAACGAATTTTGGACTAATTTCATCGAACATTTTGGCGTATACGCGCGAAATAACCTCTTACCGTTCACCAGTTCCAATACCGCAAGTGCCCACAACGTCGAACATCAAGAATGTGTAAATAAATTACTCAGCGATCTTTACCCGTTATCAACCTCTATTAATCAATTCGCACGAGAATATTACGGAGAGTTATATGGAAAGTTAGAAAAGTTAAAGTGGGGAGCGTTCGCACCTAAATCATTCGGTGTCTTCCCTATGGTTGCGGTTAATTTCAATACGATCAGCGACTATCACTGGGATGAGCACGATGAACCAAATTCTCTCTGTTACTTGGTCGCTCTTGGTGATTTCGAGGGGGGTGAACTTTGCTTTCCACAACTCCAGATTATCGTTCCGCTTCGTCCAGGACAAGTCGTGGCATTTTCTTCCCGTCTTCTACTCCATGGAAATTTTCCCGTAACTCGAGGGATCCG